TTCTGTCTCTCAGGAGCTATCTTTCAATAAACCTTCCTATTCTTATCTTCCACTGTCCCTTAAAATTCATCCTTCCATTTCAGGAGACACAAACTAGGCACAACTGACATCTAGCAATTATATTTCTGCTATGTCACGTACAGCCTCTTTTTTCTCACCAGCCAGTTCAAAGCTAAGTTCCACCCTCACCAACAGTTCCTCCTCAGTCTCTACTTACCCCTTTTTCTTAGGTGGCCAACTTTCCCCACTATAGATGAGGAAAGCTCTCCCCAGCTCACTTTGAACTGCCCCCGTCTCTGCCCAGTTTCTGATTCTCAACTCTGTTTCCCGCCGGCAGTCTTTCCTGGTCTGTGTGAGGTGGGTTTGGCAGCTGGTATTTGATGTCCAAATATTTTATCTAATTATTCCCCATTAAGAACATGGATACTGTTTTATGGGGAGAAATACATTTGTGGTCCAAATCCAACTCTCCCATATTTTTCAGCTGTTTCATCTTCAGTGTATTATTTAATTTCCCCCATACTTCAGTTTCATCATCAAATTTCCCTAAGTCTATCTTGCAGGCTTCTGAAAGACCAATACCTTTATAAAATGCTTGACTGTGACTTGCATAAGCAGACATTCTCTCAGTGTCATCTGGTATCAATGTCATTGCTATTGCCATTAATATTATGTTTAACCTACTGGCTCTGTTCCCCTCCCACTAAAACTACACCATCCTATATGCAGGGTGGACAGATTCTGATTCAGAGTTTAGGCCAGTGATGGCAAACCTATGCCACACACGCTGCAGCAGGCACACAAAGCCCTCTCTGTCACCATGAGCCAAGTCACCCCCACAGCCAGGCATCAGACAACAGTGGTTTTTTCTAAACTAAAAACTCAGTATACAGATTTAATTGCAGTGTTGGACTTTGCGATAAATGCCTTTGAGTGGGCTTTAGGTTTCAGTCTGGGCATTGGGTCTCTAAAAGATTAGCCACCACTGGCTTAGACTGTTTGCCCTGTGGCTCGTGTACCTAGCTTCCCTATTTCCCATCTTTCTACAAATAGCCCAAACTCTTTCTTCACTTCATCAGTCTCGATTGGACCATGCCCATGGTTCCCTGCATCCTAGTTCCTATGAGTTCTGACACTTAGCTTCTTGGGTGGGCTACAGGCTGAGCCCAAGAATCCCATGTGTCCCCTTCAAGTCAGCCACCCAAATGAGTGACAGGCTTTGACCATAAAAAACATCCAGCAAGGAGAGAGTGAAGAGGAGACTGTCATTCAGCCCTGCGGCTCCACTCTGAGACCCCACACCAGGCTCTGCACAAAGATAACAGCCAGACTTCTGGGAAGAGAGCAGAGCAGTAAATAGCCTCATTTTTTTCTTTGCTTTTTTTTTTCTTTTCTTTTCTTGATTGTTTTTGGATTTTTTTCATGAGTGTGAACATTGCTTTTAGGGTTCTTTGTTTTGTTTTGTGTTGTTTTATTTAGTTCTTGTTTTTGTTTTTCCTCTTCCTTCTTCACCAGTTTCGCAAAGCTTGAGTAATTTTCTTTTGTCCTTCAGAGTTACTTCTAATCTCTCCTTTTATTTCTCTGCTTTTCCTCTTATCCCTTTTTACCCTCAGGGTAAAATTGCTCTACTGAGGGGATAATTACTGTATATAATTTTCTGATTTGGTATAGATTTTGTTATATAACTATAAATCTAATACCTATGGCTAAAGGTAACAATTCAACAATTACCAAGGTTTGTCATTTTCTAGACTGTATTGATGCTATTGTTATTACTGATTATACTACTTTAGCCTACGTGACATAGTTGTGATCAGTTGTTTTTCCTTGTATGCCAATATAGAGATTATCTGATGTTATAATCAATATCATAGTCTATTACTAAAGAAAGTGCCAGGCCAAACAAGCGACTGTAAGACCCAAAGTCTCACTTCCACTCCGAGGAGCGTGACCAGCCGAAAAGGCCTTTACAATGCTGAGTCCTATAGCTCAGCAAGGCTCCGGGAGCTCGAAGGAGGAATGAGAGTCACCCAGGAAGGAACACACCAGGCTAGATGGTAAACAGACCTTTATTAGTCTGGCCAGAGACCGCACTCTCAGAACCAAGTAGCTGGCTCAGAGAGGCGCCAGCTCGGGGGCTGAGGTCCTTTTTATAGGGGTTTAAAAAAAGGGGGTGTGAGCATTCTAAGCTTGCAGGCAGGGGACAAAGGTCTGCTGATTTGAGCTGGTGGTCAGGAGTCACGTACTCGGCAGTCACACATTGATGATTAATAGATTCCTATAGGATATTTCAAAGGCCACCAAGCCATTCAGGAGTTTGACATTTAATTTGGGGTCTGTATGTATGGTACAGATTTTATCTCATAGTCTAGAACCACTAACTTACACGTTAATCAGGATCCAAACTTCAAACAGTACAGGATTGCCTTATAGTCCTAAGCCAGGGTTTGAACAAAGGTCAGGGCTATGGCTACAGTGGGAGGGGGTTAGAGCACTGGTCTCACACAACAACCTCTCATCTTTAATAATCTGAAGAGACGGTGTCTTGGGACAGATTTAAAAACCAAAAGCCAGCCCGAACCAGCAGAGGCAGCAGCAGGAGCATCTGCAGCCTGTTCCCTCTCCCGCCATCCCTCTGCGGCCCTCCAAGTCTCCCCCTTCTCTAGGGGGTCCCCCTTGCCTTCCCGCCTGCCCCTATTGTTCCGCCCCAGGCCTCTGGACCTTCCCCTTCCCTTCCTGTGCTCTCCCCTTTTCTGCTCAGTTATCTCGCACCTGCGGTTTTGGCTTTGACCCCTACCAGTGACCAAAGACTTGACCACTCAAAGTCCAGCTCCCCGTAATACTCGACACAGACAACGTTGTGATTGCAGGTGGATTGAATGTCACTCTCACCATCTGGCTACGTATGCATGAAAAGGAAGCTGGCAGTAACAGCGGAAAGAAAGGAGAGTCAGTTAGGACTCTATGTGCGGGGAGAGTGGCGCACATATCAGCATCCCAGAAGGGAATTGTCCTGAGCAAATTATCACTTTGGCTGGACCCACTAACACCATCTTCAAAGCCTTTGCTATGATCTTTGGCAAACTGGAAGAAGACATCAGCAGCTCGATGACCTATAGCACAGCTGCCAGTAGACCCCCCCGTCACTCTGAGGCTGGTGGTCCCCACTAGTCAGTGTGGCTCTCATGGGGAGCAGCTAGAACAATGCAGATTCATCCATAACCCTCTCTGCTGTTCACCACCACCCATGATCCATCTGTGTAGTTATTGGGCAGTCAGAGATTCCAGGTTTTAAATAGTTTGTAAATTTTCAATTTCTGCACATTTTATTATCCACTCATGATTTTTTTTAATTAAAGTGTTTTAATTCTGTTCTCTGTTCAGCGGTTAATGCTGAGATCCATATTTAGTTTTATAAGCTTCTCCCTGTTTTGGTTTTTTTTTTTTTTTTTTTTGGTTTTTGGTTTTTGGAGTTTTTTTTCGGCTCTTCAATTTTTCTGTTTGTCGTGAAAATGTAACAGTGGAATATTTCAGTTTAGTTCTGCAATGTCAGGAATTTTACCAAAAAAATAAAAGAGGGCCAGGGATTTAGCTCAGCGGTTCGGTGGCCTGCCTTGCAAGCGCAAGGACCCGAATTCAATCCCCTGTACCCCAAAACAAAAAAACAAACAAACAAAAAATTAAAAGATGGACTAGAGCTTTTTCTTTGTGAATAGAAGCTGGATGCCAAAAGAAAGAAAGAAAGAAAGAAAGAAAGAACGAAAGAAAGAAAGAAAGAAAGAAAGAAAGAAAGAAAGAAAGAAAGAAAGAAAGAAAGAAAGAAAGATGCAGCTAGAAGAGAGCACTGAAAAGCAGCCATTTCCTAAGGAGGTCTTGATACTAGTGATAAAGCTACCTACCACAAGCAATTTATAAACATCAATGCAGAAAACAAATTAAAAATAAAAAACAAGAGGGCACAAAAGCAAGATGCAGGTGGCACTGAGGTGGAAGAAGTAAAAAGCCACCCAGTTGAACTTTCTGAAATGGTAGCAGCAAAGTATCAAGAAGATAACTGAATCTCTAGGGGGAAAAAAATCAGAAGTACTTGCATAGATAACTAAAGAGATGATGACCACAATGAAGGACATGGTTAGTAAATCTAAAGTAGATACAGATTTTTTTAAAAAGAAAAAGAAAAAAAAATCTTAGGAAAATGATGGGAATCATGAATGCCCAACATAGGAAAGAACTGGACTCCATAAAACAGATTCAAACATATCTGGGAGATTAAAAATTATATTGAAAGTATATGCAGCAAAATCAATTAATGTGAGGCTAGAATATCAGATCTGGAAGACAGGTTAGTGGTTAGCAATCATCAAATGAAAGACTTCTTAAAAATAGCAAGAGACCATTGAATATTAATTGTACAGCCAGACATGGTATCGCACCCCTGTAATGCCAGCACTAGGCTGAGGCAGGAGAATCACTGTGAGTTTGAGACCAGCCTGGGCTACATAGTGAGTTCCAGGTCAGTCTAAACTACATAGTGAGACCCTGTCTCAAAAAAAAAAAAAAAATGAATCCTACAGTTACAAGGTAATGCAAAGACCAATAATATAAGATTGACCAGAATCAATAAAAAAAATCAGAAGCTAGCACAAAGGACATAAAAAAAAAATCTGTCACAGAAATAATGGCAGAAAATTTACCAAATGTGGAAAAAGAATTTGACATACAGATAAGTAAGGCACATAGAATTCAAATTAACCATGATCAGAAAAAAAACTACATAATAGTCGAGATGCCAGAAATTCAACACAACAAGAGTATTAAAAGCTGTTAGAGGAACTTTCCTATAAAGGAAAGTACATCAGAACCACAGCAAACTTCTCAACCCAAACCCTTAAGTCAAGGAGAAGTTGGACTGAAATGTATCAAGCCCTTAAAAAAAAATCAACCTCCAACCCATATTGATGTACTCTGAAAAGTCATCTTTCAAAATTGAGGGAGAGAAGATGGTGACTCCCATGCATCGGCTAATAGCCCGGAGACAAGCTGAAGCCAATAAGCAGCATGTAAGGTGTCAGAAATGCTTGGAATTTGGACACTGGACTTATGAATGCACTGGAAAAAGAAAATACCTACATAGGCCATCAAGAACAGCAGAACTAAAGAAAGCTTTAAAAGAAAAGGAAAACAGATTATTATTACAGCAAAGCATTGCAGAGACTAATGTAGAAAGAAAGACCAAGAAAAAAAGGTCCAAGAGTGTAACCAGTTCCAGTAGCGATAGCAGTGACAGTTCAGCCAGTGACTCTTCGTCAGGGAGTGGAGACACATCTACCTCCTCAGCGGGGGAGGAGGACAGTGACTCTGACGGGAGCTCCTCCAGCGCGTCATCCTCAGCCTCCTCCACAACCTCCTCCTCCTCGTCCTCCTCCGGACTCGGACTCGGACTCCAGCTCTCCCAGCAGCAGCAGCACGGAGAGCACCTCTGAGGACGAGCCACCGAAGAAGAAGAAGAAGAAGTAGAATTTCCCACCCATATCGGACCCGTGAACCGAAAACACAATCGTGATAAAGCCAAATAGATTAACAGTTCAAAATTTCTAGAGTTCAAAAGTTTCTAAGTGTTTTACATTGTAAGAGCATAAAGATAACAATGAGTTATATGTATAAACAATTTTTATTTTGGAGGTGAATCTTGTTCTTCTTTTTTTTTAATCTTTAAAATGTAGCTCTAGAATTTAAAACTAAAATCCAACAAATCTCTGGGCATGCTAGAGCGCACCTGTAATCCCAGTACTCGGGAGGCTGAGGCAGTGGGATCATCATGAGTTCGAGGCCAGCCTGGCCCAGTAGTTATGTTTGAGGCCAATCTGACAAGTGAGACCTGTCTCCAAAAAAAAAAAAAAAATCCAGCAAATCTGTTTTTGTGATGAGCCTTATATTTGCTCCCTGTGAAATGAAGGCCTAGCTTTATTATATGTTCATGGTATATACTGGACAGGTTTTCAGGGTAAATCATCAGATTATCTGGCTGTGTTATTACGTAAAGTATAGTATATTGTCACTGGAAACTTGGGAGTTTTCCTACTGTTAAGAAATGTACTCTATTTTTATGTTGATGTTCAGAAAGTTGTTCTATTTGTCCTGAATAAGGGAATGTATTAATATATTTATAACTTTTGAACATTACAAGTTGCAAGTTGTTATGTTTCATCATTCATTTCCTTCTGGTTTCTTAAGTGCTTAGAGTTACCCTTTTCTGTGGAAAATAATTCTAGAGGAACCTAAATGGGGCAAAAAAAATCTGACATGAAGGAGTCTAGTCTTGGTAACTTTTAAAAATTCAGCAGACCAGAAAAGAAAGCAGCTATGTAAAAGGCCAACTTAGTAAAAGCACTCTATCGTGCTGCAAAAGGCACCATTCTAGGGGAGAAAAAGGAGGAAGAAAGGGACTTTTACAGAAAGTTAGGACATTGTTGGTTGCCTTTATTAAAAAGGATTTTTAGCGCCAGGGATTTAGCTCAGTGGTGCTGCTCCCTACCTTGCAAGTACAAGGACTTGAGTTTGATCCCCATATAAAAAAAAAAAAAGATTTTTAAAGATTGCCTTTTGCCTTTTTTTGCAACTATGGTATAACAGCTTATTTGGTAACTGGTCTTATATGACAAGTCTACTGCTTAAATGAACAAGTAGGGTTAATCTGCAGTGTTTATATAGTACGCACACAGTTTAAATCTAGGGTGAAATGTTCAAAAGGAAATACTGCACAGTGTTTCTTAAAAGTAAAATATTCTTGCTCTGAGATTGAAATAACATCACATTATTCTGTGATGCTTTTCAGACTTTTTGGAAAGAAGTATGTTTGTAGAAAAACCTTGATCCGGCAGGGCATGGTGGCGCACACCTGTAATCCCAGCACTCAGGAGGCTGAGGCAGGAGGATCACTGTGAGTTTCAGACCACCCTGGGCTACATAGTGAGTTCCAGGTCAGTCTTAACTACATGGTGAGACCCTGTCTCAAAAGACCGAAAAAAAAAAACAAAAAACCCAACCTTGATCCAGGTCACATATAGGTTCTCAAAAGTAGATGTGGTCTTTTTTATATTTTTATGAGAAAGTAGTAGAAAGTTACTTTTGAAGGAAATAGGCTTCTACTTATGGTGAAATACATTATGTTGTGAGTTGAAGAAATCTGTAATTACCTATGTATTTTACAAAACCATCTGCTTTCAATTATTGTATGTAAACTTCCAAAGCGTCATTTCAAAAGGCTCCATAGAAATGTACTGCTTCCTAGGTTTTAATAGATTACTAATTAAAAACTTTTCCAATGTTCATAGTCTCCACAAGGGCAATTGTAGCAGTTAAAGAATTTGGGAGAGAAAAAAGTGTACATAGGATGCGTCCCTTGCAATTAAATAAAAGAGTTTGTGCTCATAGAGTCAAAAAAATAAAAAGTTGAGGGAGAGCTAAGAACACCCAAAGAATTAATGAAAAGTATTCTAGAAAAAGACATTGAAGATAATTCCATAAATTCCAATAGGCTGAAGCCACTGGTTAGGCAAGCAGTTAAATAGAGGGGAAAGAAAGGAAACCAACAGCAGGAAAATAATATAACAAAGATAAGTCAATACATGTCAACTATAACCCTCAATGTAAATGGTCTCATTTCAACAATCAAAAGAAACAATTGGCAGAATAGATCAAGAAACAAGATCCAGGACTGGGGATTTAGCTCAGTGGTTTCACCGCTTGCCCTGCAAGCACAAGGGCCTGAGTTCGATCCCCAGAACAACAACAAAAAAAAGAAACAAGATCCAACAATATGATGCATGTAAGATAGCTGGATCACACGGAGTTTCTTATTTCAGAGAAATCTCCATGTGATTTCCATAATGGTTGTACTAGTTTGTATTCCCACCAGCAATGTAGAGGAGTTCCTTTTCCACCACAGCCATGCTAGCTTTTGTTGTTTGATTTCCTAATGATTGCCATTCTTTACGGATTAAAATGAAATCTTAGAGTTATTTATTTGCATTTCTCTAATGGCCAGAGATGTTGAACATTTTTCACATATTTGTTGATCATTGTATTTCTTTCTCTGTGAAGTGTCTATTCATTTCTCCTTCCCATTTGTTGAGTGGGTCTTTAATTTTAGGTGATTTAATTTTTCTGAGTTCTTTGTATATTCTAGATATTAATCCTCTGCGGAATAGGTGGCAAATTTTTTTCCATTCTGTAGGTTGTCTCTTCATTCTACTGATTGACTATTTTGCTGAACAGAAGCTTTTTGGTCTGATATAATCTCATTTGTTGACTCGTTGCTATTTCTCGTGTGAGTGAGGTTCTATTTATGAAATCCTTTCCTGTACCTATGCCTTCAAGTGTTTTATCTATTTTATCTTCCTGAAAGTTTAATGTGTTTGTTTTAGTGTTTAGATGTTTGATCCATTTTGATCTTAATTTAGTATATTGTGAGAGATAAGGGTCCGGTTTCATTCCTCTACAAAGAGATAGCCAGTTTTCCCAACATCATTTGTTGAATAGGCTATCTTTATTCCACTGTATGCTTTTTGTCCCAGTGTCAAAGATCAAATCATTGAATATGTTTGAGTAGGTATCTGTAACCTCAATTCTGTTCCATTGAACATGTGTCTATTTTTGTTCTGGTACCATGCCATCTTTATCACTATCACTTTGTACTATAGGTTGAAGTCGGTTATTGCTATGCCACCTGCTTTGCTCTTACTGCCCACAGTTACTTTTGCTATTCTGGATCTCTTCTGGCTCCATATGAGTTTCAGGATTGTTTTCTTTAGATCTATAAAGTATGCTGTTGGTATTTCGATTGGGACTGCATTAAATCTGCCCAACAGTATTGGAAGTATGGCTATGTTGATAATATTTGTTCGACCTATCCAGGAAGAAGGGGCATCTTTCCATTTTCTAATGTCCTCTTTAAGATCCTTTTACAGTTTTTTCCGTAGAGGTCTTTCACTGCCTTGGTTATGTTAATTCCTAGATATTCCATTTTTCTTAAAGCAATCGTGAATAGCATTATTTTCATAATTTCCTTCTCATCCTATTCATTGTTGAACAGTGAACAAATGCTAATGATTTTTGTATCCTGCTGATACAAGTTGATCTTGTATCCTGATACATTGCTGAAGTTGGTAATTGATTGTAAGAGTTTTTTGATGGAATTCTTTGGGTCTCCTATGTAGAATATCATGACCATCTGCAAATAATGATAATTTGGGCTCTTCCTTTCCTATACATATTCCTTTTTTTTTCTCTTGCCAAATTGCTCTGGCTAAAGTTTCATGTACCATGTTGAATAGAAGAGATAATAGCATACATCCTTGTCTTGTTCCTGAATTTTGGAGGGATGCTTTTAGTTTTTTCCACATTTAATATGATGGTGGCTATTGGTTTGTCATAAATAGCCTTTATCATATTTAGGTATACCTGTTTTCCTCAAGGTTTTAATCACAAAGTGGTGTTGGAAAGCCGGGCATGGTGGCGCATGCCTGTAATCCCAGCATTTGGGAGGCTGAGGCAGGAGGATCACTGTGAGTTTGAAACCAGCCTGGGCTACATAGTGAGCTCCACATCAGTCTCAACCAAATGAGACCCTGTCTCAAAAAAAAGTGGTGTTGGATTTTGTCAAAAGGCTTTTCTCCATCTACTGTTTTGATCACGTGGCTTTTGACCATGCTCTGGTTTATGTGATATATTAAATTTATTGACTTACATATGTTGAACCATCCTTGCATCTCTGGAATGAAATTTACTTGATCTATTTTTTATAATGTGTTGCATTCTATTTTTTAATGTCTTGTTGAGGACTTCTGTATCTATGTTCATTAAAGAGATTGGCCAGTAGTTCTCTTTTTTAGTTGGATCTTCATCCAGTTTTGGGATCAGGGTGGCACTGGCTTCCTACAGAAGACTCCTACAATGGTTCCATTCTCCTGCCCAGTGTATGACACAGGCCTGAAGAAAGACTCAAAGACAGATTTAAAGAAAGAAGTGGGGAGCCAGGACAGCCAGTGCTGAGCAACCAGCAAAGGCCTTGGTCAGTCCAAGCCGCTGATTTTTGTTGGTAATCAAACTGGAGTAAAGAGGACTACATGTGAGAACATGCAGTTGTGCAGTTGCTATGGATACTAATGCATGTAAGGCTTGTAAGGAAAAGACAAAGCATTCTCAAATTAGGAACAGAATAGGCAAAATATAGGATTGTCATTACAGCCTTGTCCTTCTAGATAAAAAAGTTTTAGCTTTGGGTTCAAGTCACCCCAACCTCAGCTACTATGTTATCTCTTATGGATCCCAACTGCTTCATGGGCCATTTCTCTGGTCTCAGCTGCAGCTGCTAGTGGGAAGGTCATGCTAACCTGTATGCTTCCGACGTGCTTCTATGAGCCGTGTAAGGTTCAGTCACACTCAGTTCTTAAAATGAGCCAATTGCGGGGTTAACTCTTCACAGCTTGCACTGTTTACAGCCTGCTTTAGGCATAATCAA